CTGCTAGAAATTTTAGTCTTGTCAATTCAGTAGGAATATTTCCAGTGAGCCGATTCCAGGACAGATCCATTGCTTCAAGCACATTCAATTGCCCCAGTTCCATTGGAATATCACCTTTGAGATTGTTACGTGATAAATTGAGTAACCGAAGTGAGCCAAGATCCTTTAGTATTTTTGGAATGACACCTTCAAAATGGTTGCTTGAGAGATCTATGGTTGTCATAATTGTGTTGATTTTTTCTAGCTCAGTATCATGGCCTTTGATCACCAAACTCACTGAATCTTCATACATTGAATATTCACTCAATTGTTCCATATATTTGATCTCACCTTTGTCTCCGTCATCTAATTTAATCATTGCTTCAAGCACATTCAATTTCCCCAAGTCTAAGTATGCTCATGTTTCAAATGGATGAAGATAGTGGCCCCTGAAGGGAGTTAAATTTAAGATCAAGATACCCTAGATTATGGAAATAAAATTGTGGTAGGTGGCCTGTTAATGAATTATATGAAAGGTTCAGAAACCGCAACAAGTTGTTTTTATTGTAGTGTTTGTTGTAGTGCTTGTAATTTAAAGAATACACCAAAAAATAAATTTGATATTTTTATTAACACCCAACAATATATTTTGTATAATGCAAAAGGTTAGACTTTAGAATATTTAATAATGAAAGAATAAAAATAGAAAGAAGAATAAAAAAGGTAAACGTAAAAATCATATATCAAAAATCAAAAATTTATATAAAAGAGAACCCTAGGCCCGCCTACGTGGCGCCACCATAAACTAGGATTCCCTTTTAAATTTTATTTATTTCCAAAACTAGCCTTCCCTTTTCATTAAAAGCTGTGACTTTTATGAAAAGTTGTGACTTTTATGAAGAGTTGCAACTTTTATGAAAAATTATGACTTTTATGAAAGGTTGTGACCTTTCTGAAGGGTTGTAACTTTTCCAAAGAGTTGTGACATCTCGGATAAGGCACAATAAAAATTTGTTCACACTACTCTATGTTGTCTATAAATAGAGGAATTTCCTGCCACTATAATTTGTAGGTTTTTTTCCCTCTATAGGGTAGTCAAATTCAAATACATTAATTAAGTTTTTAGGAATTTTTTTCATTCCTAAAAGTTTTCATGGATCTTAATCTTTATTGTAAGTCATGGTGATTCATGTAACTATGGCAATTTCATTTTCCTATTTTGGTGACCTTTTTTTTAACTCTGTTAAAGTTTCAGCAGGGATGATTGAAAATTGATCCTCTCTTTTGTCACTTTCTACAGGTTTCTTCATATAAACAAAGAAAATTGATTTCAATTGCAATGCGACATTACTGCTCTTGGATCTCTCAGTGCACAACTCATAACACTGCTGAAATGGTTGATGACTGAATTCATTACATTTGGTTCTTTAGTAAACAAATCTTTTATTTCTACCACTATTATTTGTATTTTTTTTCGAAATCAAATACATTAATTAAGTTTCTTATAAAGTGCATTTCATTTCTCAAAGTTTTTTTCCTCCTATTTCATGAAGCTTAATTTTTTACTATAAATCATAGTGATTCATGTATCTATTGCAATTTCTTTTTGCTATTTTGGTGACTTTTTTTTTAATTATGTTCAAAATTTCAATGAGGATGATTGAAAGTTTATCTTCTCTTTTGTCCCTTTCTACAGTTTTTCTTCATATACTTTTTGGGAAAATTGCTTGTGGGTTGTGCTATATTTGATAGCACACAACAACAAAAATCTGATAACTAGTACGGAACCAATGATGAAGTTTGTTAAAAGAACCAAAATGATTTCTCTCTTGTTTGCCACAGTTAGTATATTATTTTGATTGTTTTTTCTTAGGTACAAACATTTTGTATGCCATTGCACTATTCCTAGAAAATTTGTATAGAGACAATTAGTCCACATCATTTATCGCAAGTTAACTAATTTGTCATATTTCCTCTTCTCTTCTTTTTGGGCATAATAAGAGATCAAGTTTTCTTAAAACTAACAAATGTCCAAAATACACTACAACAAAAATATTTTTTATCGGCAATAAATATGCACGTTCACGAAGAGTGCTACAGCCTTTACCGACATGAATTAACTGTCATTGGATTCAATGTTGCTATAGACTTTAGGAACATTTATACAGAGTACCAATTGCCTCTGAAAATACATATTTAGCGATAATTAAGCTATTAATTATCGTTAAAGATCATTTTTGTTGTAGTGATAACTCATTCTTTTGATAAAGTTTTAAATTTTTTTGATAAAGAAGTAATAACTCTTTCTTTTGGCTTCTTTCAACTAAATTTGTGAACTGTGAACTTGGATACAACCCGAAAGACTATCTTTTTGAAAAATATATTAAGCAACGAGCCTTTTTCTTCTTGATTGTTAGGAAAGTAAGATTGTCTTTATTATTATTTTAGGATATTTGTGAGTTCAAGTGCTCACAAAATTATGTTGTGAGATTTTAATATGTTATGTGTCAAATTTTTTGTTTAGAATATCCCGTTGTGAACATTCAGATGTCACCTATTGCTTGGCTGATAATTGCATTAATTTTTTTGTAACTGCATACTATAACCATAACAATAACTATGGTTTAATCCAAATAAGTTGGGGCCGGTGATATGAAACCTTTAAAATAGTAATGACTATTTTGAGACAATGACAAAAAAACATTTATGATAATAACAATTTTAGGGTCATTTTTAGCATATACTTGATATGGCATACAATAATAAAAAAGAGATTGATGGAGGTTCATAAGAAAGGAGTCCATGGTCGTCCATTTGAATTTAGTTAATTATGATCTTGTATGGACGTGATACTCCACTTTACTTGGAAGTGTTGTTGTTCGACCTTTTTTGGTCTCTTTATTAACGTCTGATGTTGTTCTTTATAACTTCTTGGAATTAAAAATATTCCATTACTTCTGACCAACTATTTCCAAGGAGATTTTCTTAGACTTCTTTCTTATACTTAAAATCTATCTATGACTCATAATATTTGTATAACAAAAATGAAAATTAAAAAAATATAGCACTTTAAGATTTTGGAGGAACGTTTTGCCTTAAGATAAAATGATCTTGACAATGTAGTGTATGTATCGAAAATATGAATATTATCGAATGATCATATGTAAGCTTAATAAAATAGTTCAATTCCGTGCGAAGCACGGGTAATTTACCTAGTAATAATATAATATGGGTTCATGATAATTGTCAACATATAAATAAGTCAATAAAATAAGTAGTCACGGAAGAAAGGATGCTATAATTAACCAAACACTATTCCATTTCTTAATTATTACAACGACCTCCACATTAAAATATAGTGAACAATTAACCAAACAGTATTTCATAAAGTAGCGTTGTTGACTTGTCTATGCATGGGACTATTGAGGTATAAATTAGCGAAAGAAAAGAAACACATCCAAACAAATAATTTGTGGTTGTCCTAAGTGTTAAGTCAATTTCCAGGAAGACTCAAAGTCACTTGTAGTCCATGAATGAGTACTAGTCACTTCTAAAATCCTTGTATAGAACATTTTGCCCTTTTAAAAAAACCTTTTCCGCATTGATAATCAAACAATATGAATTAGTTGTTGAACAACCAGAGACATTATTTTTCGTACACGAAGTATAAATATATGTAAAAACTTACTAAAATTAAATTTGCGGAAGTTGATATTGAGTTAGAGAACATTTTAAGTGATTTATGATTCTAAAGATGCAGAACCACAAAATTATTAGCAAATTATGTAGTTTTGAGTACTCTTCTACTTAAATTTTCAAAAATATAAACTTTCTAATATCAAGTGATTTCAATCATAAACCAAACTGATCTATTTGCTTGTGCAATTTCCTGTTTTTGTTATGCTGATGAGCTATGTTGCTCCGACTCTCCTAAAAATAAAATGGTGTTGCATTTGTGTTGGTTTCATAAAAAATGCTCTACTTTTGAAGAATTCAATATGTAGTCGTTGACATTTTTGAAGAGTCTGAGTAACATAACTAATGAGTGGCTGTGTAAATCACTTCTATCAACTTGAAACAGAAACAAACTAACATAACTTGAATAACACACATATAATTATGTTTCTATCAAACATATACAAACAACAAATAGAAAATTGAAAAGACAAAAACAGAACCAGAAAAGTTCACTAATTAGTCCACAAAATCAAACAAAGACAAGGTTACCCTCTCAATCTTCCATTAAGTCCGTCATCTCTGAGCTCTCTTCTTTGGCCTTCTTCTTTTGTGAGGCATGAGTCCATCAAAAAATTCCACAAACCATTTTGGCTTACGATATTTAAACATGAGACTCCACATGAAAAGTTCCAACAACTAGACCACAACTGTAGCCTATGACTACTGATTCCCACGTAAATCCACTAAAAAAATATGACTCGCCTTCATCTTCTTGTTGAGGAACATGTGATGAATCACTTGTTTCACATTGCTTTGATAAAGGAAGACCACATAAATCAAGGTTGCCACCATATGAGTCATATCCAAATGTGTTGAATTGTGGACCTTGAGGAATTGGTCCGACGAGATGATTTTGGGAGAGGTTTAAGACTGCTAGAAAGTTTATTCTTGTCAATTCCTGCGGAATCTTTCCAGTGAGCCGATTCCAGGAGAGATCTAAAGCTTCAAGTGTATTCAATTGCCCCAATTCCATTGGAATATGACCTATGAGATTGTTGTGGGATAAATTGAGTAGCCAAAGTGCGCTGAGATCCTTTAGTGTTTCCGGAATGACACCTTCAAAATGGTTGCTTGAGAGATCTATGGTTGTCGTAATTGTGCTGATTCTTTGTAGCTCAATATCGTGCCCTTTGATTACCAAACTCACTGAATCCTCATAAGATGTGTCAAATGACAAATTTGACTTAGATTCCATGTACTTGATCTCTCTTGTGTCTTCGTCATCTAATTTGATCATTGCCTTGAAGTTTCCAAAAACTTTTGCAGGAAGTGAGCCACTGAAATCATTACGAGAAAGATAAAAAATTTGCAAGTTGGGAAAGCAAAGCTTAGTCTGACAAGTACTTATAGGTCCATGGAACTTGTTCGACGTTAATATAAGGACCTGCAGCTCTTGAAGAGTTCCGAGCCAAGCTGGAAATGTGTCATTTATAGCATTGTTCCTCACATCAAGGACTTCTAGAACATTACACTTGAGCAACGACACAGGTACAGGTCCTTCAAATCGATTACCATTTACGACAATGGTACTCAATGAAGTGCCCTGTGCACATAATGGGGGAAGATTCCCTATGAAATTGTTCCTTCTCAAGTCTAGCACGGTTAGACTAGCCATGCTTCCCAAGCAATGTGCAACTGAGTCACTGAAGTAGTTATGTGATAAATCTAATAAGAAAAGTCTGCTCATGTTACAAATGGATGAAGGTAGTGGACCCTGAAGGGAGTTAAATTTCAGATCAAGAGACACTAGATTATGGAAATGAAATTGTGGTAGGTGGCCTGTTAATGAATTATGAGAAAGGTTTAATAGCTGCAACGAGTCCCATCCTCATGCCGCTAAACCAGTTAGGGATTTGACCACAAATCTTATTGTTAGAAATATCCAAGACCTGAAGTGTCTTTACATTTCTCAACAAGTGTGGAAAATCCTTCAGTTCACAAGATGATAACTGCAAAATTTCAAGGCTAGGAAAGGTGATATTCATTCCCTCATCAATAGTGATGTTATTTGATGAAAGGTCAAGGGTAGAAAGGTTTGTGAGATTCACAAGTGATTGAGGAAAAGAACCGCTGAGTTGATTATTATTTAAATACAGGAATTCTAATGTTGGGTTTGTTTTGATCTCATCGGCTAGTCCACTAAATTGATTATGATTGAGCCACGACGAAGATAGCAAAGGGAGGTTAAACACCCAAGATGGTATGGTACCATTCAGCGAGTTGTAAGACAAATGCAGTTCGGATAGCTTTTGAAGCATGCTTGCTTTGCTAGGCAGTGGGCCAGATAGGGAATTACTCGACAATCCTAAGTATTCAAGATGTGTCAAACTTAAAATTGAAGCAGGAAATGGACCGATGAAGCTGTTATTAAAAAGATCTAAATAACGTAGCTCTTTGAGATTAGAAAAAACATCAGGAATTTCACCTGAAAAGGAGTTGTCAGAAAGATGTAAATTTGTGAGGTACTTCAATTTAGAGATTGTGGAAGGAATATGTCCAGTGAAATGATTATAAGATAAAATCAACTCCGTAATTTGGGTTAGGTTGTCAATGGAATTAGGAATGGAACCAGAGAATTGGCATCCTTGGAGGTTTAAGTATTTCAATGAACTAAAGGTGCCAATTGAATGAGGCAGCTCACCAGAGATGCCTGTGTATGAAATATCCAACTCCATTAACAGAGTGTTGCTCCGGTGGATCTTTGGAAAAACTCCTTTGAGAAGATCATTCCCACTCAGTTTGAGCGTTTCCAAGCTGTTTGGCAGAAGGAAAAAGCTCTCTGTTAGAACACCTCGCAGATTAGTATAACGAAGATCCAGGTACCTTAAAGAGGAAGAAATATTCACAGGCATCGGAGATGAGATGTTGACAAGAAAGAGAGATAGTACTTCCAGATTTGTCAAGTTTTGAAGCATTGTTTCAAATGTTCTCTCATCAAGTTGTAGTCCATAAAAATCAGAAGAAAGATCAAGCGAAACCAAATTTGTCAATCGGCCAATGTTATGTGGGATTGAAGAATAGCTGAAGTGATTGTAAGCAAGGTTTAGTGCCTGGAGATGATGAAGTTGGAAGAGGGTGCTATTGGGATGAATACTTCCACTAAGCAGACTACAACTAAGGTCTAACCCGATAACATGACCGTTTAATAAGTCACAAGTGACTCCATCCCAACTGCAGCAATCCCTACTCTCATTCCAAGACTTTCTTTTTGGGAAAGAAGTAAAACATTTGGAGTAGTTGTAATCAACTCCAAAAGATTGCTTAAACTGAAGCAAAGCAGAAGCTTCGGTGGGAGAGCAAAGATGATGATCAAAGGAAGAAGAAAAACATACTTATTAGCAACACAAAATACAGAAATGAATGAAAGAAAAACAGACTCATGACCATTTTTTGTTTGTTTGTTTTCAGCAAATAACAGGATGGATGTGTTCTTCTTACAAATCAATCAGTATTATCCACACATATATATACTACTTTCTAAGTTGCACCCGTGTTCAATGAAAACATGCATTATCAAAATTCATGATAATTGCCAAGATATAAATAAGTCAATAAAATAAGTAGCCATGTAGGAAAGGATGCTATAAGTAACTAAACACTATTCCATTTCTTAATTATTACAACAACCTCCACATTAAATAAAGTAAACAATTAACTAAACAATATTTCATAAAGTAACGTTGTTGACTTGTCTATGCATGGGACTATTGAGGTATAAATTAACGAAAGAAAAGAAACACATAGATAATTAAATAAATGGGGTAATAATTTGTGGTTGCAAAAAATGTTGTCCCAAGTGTAAAGTCAATTTTCAGTCACATATGGTCCATGAATGAGTACTAGTCACTTCTAACGACTTGGTACACATCATTTTCCCTAGATGTTGTTGTTCATTTCGAGATCATCGATCGACTATCTCTACGGTGTGTGTTACGCAAGATGATGTGAAATTGGTCAAGTTACGTAACACTCACAGTAGAAAATATTTCTGCATAAGTTGTGAAAAATTTCCAATGAGAGAAACTATTGCTTGACTAAGTCATGAAGTGAGGAAAAAAAATGAAGAATAATTAAAGACATCAACTTAAGAGTATGTAACAACAAAACAATAATACCGTGTGGAATTTTATTTTGTTCTTTGAAGCCAAAGTCTTTAATAAGACAATTTCCACAAAGAATGCAATAATTTTTTATGCAATTTTTCCATGGAATTTATACAATCATAAAAGGTCAATATTCCGAGTCAGTGATTAGTTGTCTCTTCTGCTATTTTCAAACTTGTTAGGTACACAATAATTTTCACATTAAGTTAATAAGGGACAATCCATCAATATTCCATTCCACCTAAGGAAAAAAGGGATACGGTACTGTAACTAGCAGACGATGACTTGTAAGCCTTTAAGATAATTTCCTCAAAGACTAGAGGGGGGGAAAAGATTATGATGAATCGGGACTGATGAACAATTGAATCAAAAATGAGTACTAGTCACTTCTAACAACTTGTTACTCATATTTTGTAGTGTTCCACAAGACTTGTTAGAGGACGGAGAAGACTTAACAAAATAATACTCCATATGTCCTCATTTTCTCTAGATGTTGTGTTCATTTCGAAGTCATTAACTATCTCTATAGTGTGTGTTACACAAGATGATGTGAAATTGGTCCTATTATGTAGAAAAAATTTCTGCAGAACTTCTTAGAAATTTCAAATGGTAGAAACTATTGCTTGACTAAGTCAAGTGAGGAAAAAACTGAACAATAATTAAAGACATGATTTAAGTCCTTCATTTCCTGCTTGCTTAGTATGTTTTGAATAACTTGGTGAAGATCATTCCACCTGCAGAGAAATTTTATGAGAAATTTCCGATTAGTTGTCTCTTGTGCTGAAGACTTTTCACATTAAGTTAATGAGGGAAATTCCATCTATATGATACAGTTCAAATAGGAAGAGATGGAAAATAACAATTTTTACATATTTTCCCAATTTGAACACTTTTTTCAATTTGACTGCTAACTTTTGAGAAAAATCCTAAAATCACCCTCAAACTTGATAGCCAAATTTACTTTAGGACTTAAACTACATGAACATTTAAATACCCCCTTAACAACTTTCAAGTGATTTTTATTCAACCCTCCCGTGACCAACCTTGAACTGAACTGGTCACGGGAATTACTTTTTGTTTACAGCATATTACAGAATGTTCTGTTTTTTCAAAATCCATACATATTTTATAGTTATTTGAACTCCTGTTTTATGTCAACCTTGTCCAACTTTCCATCAACATCTCTTCTGTTTTCCACAATACTTTTCAAAGAGAAACTGTTGCATGACCAAGTCAATTGAGGATTAAATAAATTTTGGTGCAATTTTTCCATGAAATCTATACAATCAGAAAAGGTCAATCCGAGTGAGTGATTAGTTGTCTCTTCTGCTATTTTCAAACTTGTTAGGTACACAATAATTTTCACATTAAGTAAATAAGGGAAAATCCATCAATATTCCATTCCAACTAAGGAAAAAAGTGATACAGTATTGTAACTAGCGGACGATGACTTGTAAGACTTTAAGCCAATTTCCACAAAGACTAGAGGAAAAAAAAAGATTATGATGAATCGGGACTGATGAACAATTGAATTACAAGATGAGTACTACTCACTTCTAACAACTTGATACTCATATTTTGTAGTGTTCCACAAGACTTTTTAGAGGACGGAGAAGACTTAACAAAATAATACTCTCTATGTCCTATTTTTCTCTTGATGTTGTGTTCATTTCAAAGTCATTAACTATCTCTGCAGTGTGTTACGCAAGATAATGTGAAATTGGTCCCATTATGTAGAAAAAATTTCTGCAGAACTTCTTAGAAATTTCAAATGGTAGAAACTATTGCTTGACTAAGTCAAGTGAGGAAAAAAATGAACAATAATTAAAGACATGATTTAAGTCCTTCATTTCCTCCTTGTGGAATTTTATACAAAATTTTGTTTGATCTGTGTTTTCCTGCTTAATTAGTATGTTCTGAATAACTTGGTGAAGATCCTTCCACCTGTAGAGAAATTTCCGATTAGTTGTCTCTTGTGCTGTTTTCCAAAAGATTTTTAACATTAAGTTAATGAGGGAAATTCCATCTATATGATACAGTTCAAATATGAAGAGATGGAAAATAACCAAAGTAGTGGAGATGTTGTTTCTGTAGACCCTCGACTCAAGATAAAGGTATAGTGATCAAATTAAGAAGATAAAAAAAATGATACTCAAGCAAAAAAAACTGAGAGACTAATTGTATTGAAGGATCACATGTTCAGCTTACCATCTTTAAACATGAGGTGCCACATGACAGTTACAACAATTAATCCACAACTAGCAAAATACGACTCTCTTCTTCTTCTTCTTCTTCGGACTCCAATGGACGAGGAGCATGCAATCGGTCTAAAAAGAACATTCAGACAGAGTTTTTAGACTGCCAGGAATTTTAGTCTTGTCAGTTCCCTTGGAATCTTTCCAGTGAGCCGATTCCAGAGAGCATTTTTCCCAAAAACAAAAAAATTTCCTCATTCATAATCAAGCAGTATGAATTAGTTGTTGGATCACGTGAGACATAACACTCGTCATGAAGTATAAATATATGTAAAAATCTACCAAAATAAAAATTGCAGAAGTTGAAACTGAGTTAGAGAACATTTTAAGGATGTTTTATGACTAGAAAGATGAAGTACCACAAAATTATTAGCCACTTCTGTAGTTTTGAGCATTCTTCTACATCAATTTTCACAAATATAAACTTTCTAATATCAACTAATTTCAATCATGAACCAAACTCTATATGCTTACTGCACTGCTTTATCCAATTTTGTTGTATTAATGAGCTATGTTGCTCGGACTCTCCTAAAATATGATGATGTCGCACCCATGTTCAGGGGTGGACCAACTCCCTCGGCAAAAAATTATGTTGTATATTTAAGGTATTTTAAAGAATTTTTATGTTTATATATTGATTTTGAACCTCCTGAATATAAGATTAGAGGTTAGTTTAGTGGTTGAGGGGTTCAAACCTCAAATCTTAAGCACTGCTCTCTTTTTTTCGAACCCCTTAATGAAAATCCTGGATCCGCCACTGCTCATGTTGGTTCCTTAATAAATACACAACTTTTGAAGAATCCAACACGTACCCGTTGACATTTTTGAAAAATCTAAGTAACATAGCTAGAGTTGCTGTGTAGATCACTTCTGTCAATTTGAAACAGAAACAAACTAACATAAATTGAATACTACAATAACACACATATAATTATGTTTCTAACATATACAAACAACAAATAGAAAATTAAAAAAAGACAAAAACAGAACAGTTCACTAGTCCACAAAATCAAACAAAGACAATTTAGCCCTCTCAAGCTTCCATTAAGTCCTTCGTCTCTGAGCTCTCTTCTTTGGCCTTCTTCTTTTGTGAGGCATGAGTCCATCAAAAAATTCCACAAACCACTTTGACTTACGATATTTAAACATGAGGCTCCACATGACAGTTCCAACGACAAGTCCAAAACTGTAGCCTATTACTACTAATTCCCAAGAAAATCCACTAAAAAAATATGACTCGCCTTCTTCTGCGGACTCCAATGGTTGAGGAACATGTGATGAATCACTCGTTCCACATTGCTTTGATAAAGGAAGACCACATAAATCAAGGTTTCCGCCATACGAATAATTTTCGAATGTGTTGAACTGTAGACCGTGAGGAATTGGTCCGACAAGATGATTTTGAGAGACGTTTAAGAAGGCCAGAAAGTTCATTCTTGTCAGTTCCTGCAGAATATTTCCAGTGAGCCAATTCCAAGAGAGATCTAAAGCTTCAAGCGTATTCAATTGCCCTAGTTCCATTGGAATATGACCTATGAGATTGTTATGGGATAAATTGAGTAGCCAAAGTGAGCTGAGATCCTTTAGTGTTTTCGGAATCACACCTTCAAAATGATTGCTTGAGAGATCTATGGTTGTCATAATTGTGTTGATTCTTTGTAGCTCAATATCCTGCCCTTTGATTACCAAACTCAATGAATCCTCATACGAAACTGTAGTTACTGAAGTTGTTGCGTGATAAATCTAATAAGATAAGCGAACTCATGTTACAAATGGATGAGGGTAGTGGACCCAGAAGGGAGTTAAATTTCAGATCAAGATACCCTAGATTATGGAAATGCAATTGTGGTAGGTAACCTGTCAAAAGATTATGTGAAATATTTAGGTACCACAAGTTGTCCCACCTCATGCCGCTAAACCAGTCAGAAATTTGACCACGAATCATATTGTTAGAAATATCCAAGTACACAAGTGTCTTTACATTTCTCAAGAAGTGTGGAAAATCCTTCAGTTGACAAGATGATAAGAATAAAGATGATGGGCTAAGAAAGGTGATATTCATTCCCTCATCAATGGTGATGTTATTTGATGAAAGTCCAAGGGTTTTAAGGTTTGTGAGATTCACAAGTGATTGAGGAAAAGAACCACTGAGTTGATTATTGCTTAAATGCAGTTGTTTTAATGTTGGGTTTGTTTTGATCACTTCATCGGCTAGTCCTCCGAATCGGTTATGTTGGAGCGGTTTTGATCACTTCATCAGCTAGACCTCTGAATCGGTTATGTTGGAGCGACACTGAAGATAGCAAAGGTAGGCTAAACACCCAAGATGGTATGGTACCATCCCATTGCATCTCTAATTCCATAGTAATACCCTCACTTCCATCTTCAATAATAGAAATCCCTGCAGTGGCATATACATGAGATCAAGCATTTGTTAAATGTAGTGAGATTCATCCTCACAAGCAGTTTCTTTTATTAAGGATTAACTGACACGAGATGATAGGATTGCTCTTTGAGGTTTGAATATCTTTTATACCCTTGCCTGTCTCAAATTATTTGTCACATTTTGACATCTCAAGAGGCTATAAATGGCAAGAAAATGTTATGCCGTTTTTTTTTTTTGATGGTGGTGGTGTCCGTGCAGGGAAATGTTACGCTACTCCAGACATAAGCATGCCATAAAGACCTAGAGGACTGATAAGTTTGTTCATATGTATAAGTGACTCCTAAAACTTTTAGGTAGTACAATATACAAGAGCTTTGAGGCAGGTTACACCAGCCATAATCTACTAACCTGTGAATTGTGGAGCAACTGTATCAAGAGTGAACTTTGAAAATTTTAACGACGCCAAAATCACAGGCCTATATTGTTCCAAAACTGGCTCCACACTTGACTTTACTAGTTCTGATGCTGCCTGAATTACCATATATACCCATACCGACTCAATTAGCAACAAAGAAGTTCAAACAATCATAAATTAGAACCAAAAAAAGGGGGAAATGAAAAATTGCAGAATCGCAATAGAGTGGAAAACTAAACTATGTATAGACATTGAACCCCTAACCTCATCCACATATGGCCAGATCTATTCAAGATGAGAATTAAGCCATGCCAACTGTAAGAACAAAATTGAAAAATTCAAAAGGTCATTTTTTGCCCTCAACAAACTAAATCACAAGATGTATTCTAGATAGAAATTAAACAAAGTCCATAAAGGGACAGTCTTGCAACCAAAGACCACAATTTGAACCATAATGCACTAATTTAATCTCAATGATCTTATATGGTCACTATGTGCTCAAAAACAGTAAAGGACATCAACAGTGTGTTTGGTAAAATCTTATTTTCCATCAAAAAGGAACAACAATTATCTCAACATATAGACATTATTATCAATCTTTACTACTCACATATTTTTCACCAAAACACTATCCAATTTGCTGATTCAATCTACAATAAATGTCTTTTCCCAGAAAAAAATCCATCACGAAAAACATTTTCCAGAAAATAAGTCATTTTACAGATTTATGATAAATGACATTGCTTTAGCTACAAGTACGGCAAAATCCAGTAGCTTTGGTTTAACCCTATATTAATGTTAAGATGTATAAATAGTCTTTTCAGTCAATGTTGCTCGGACTCTTCAAAAATGGTGATGGGTGATGGGTTACTGGCGTATACTCCAAACTAGTGCAACTTTAGAGAATCCGACACGGGTACAAACAACATTTTTTGAGAGTCCGAACAACATAATTTTCAGAAACCCAACAAAGCAAAAAAGAACCAATGGTCTAGAACCCATATAAACTAAAAATTCTGACTCAGCCACTACGTCCTACCAAATACATCCTAAAGAAAAGTTAAAGACTTCATCTTTTGCTGATTTGAGAAAACAACCCAAGAAGGGTATTTGTTCTGGTGTGAAGATTTTTCTTGAATCTTCCACTGTCCTTCTAGCAAATGCAGCAATTCCACTAGCCTTAACAATTCAACCAAAAAAACAACATAAATACAGAAAACCCCAAAAATGGAAAAAACTAAAAATCCAAAAAAATTGAAGTAAGAAAAAACAAAAACTTTAGTTGACTAAATCACAACATCTGGCCATGCCAACTGTAAGAACAAAATTGAAAAATTCAAAAGGTCATTTTTTGCCCTCAACAAACTAAATCACAAGATGTATTCTAGATAGAAATTAAACAAAGTCCATAAAGGGACAGTCTTGCAACCAAAGACCACAATTTGAACCATAATGCATGAATTTAATCTCAATGATCTTATATGGTCACTATGTGCTCCAAAAACAGATAAGGACATCAACGGTGTGTTTGTAATCTCTTTTTTCTGATTTTGGCTGCTAGAACATATGTTTTGCGAAAACATTTTCCACCAAAAAGGAGCAAACAATTATCTCAACATATAAACATTATTATCAATCTTTACTACTCAAATATTTTCACCAAACACTATCCGATTAAATGTCTTTTCCCAGAAAAAAAAATCCATTACGAAAAACATTTTCTAGAAAATAAGTCAGTTTACAGATTTATGATAAATGACATTGCTTTAGCTACAAGTACATCAAAATCCAGTAGCTTTGGTTTAACCCTATATTAATGTTATAAGATGTAAAAATAGTCTTTTCAGTCAATGTTGTTCGGACTCTTCAAAAATGGTTACGGTTGATGGTTAGTGTCGTATACTCCAAACTAGTGCAACTTTAGAGAATCCAGAATGGGTACAAACAACATTTTCTGAGAGTCCGAGCAACATAGCTTTCAGAAACCCAACAAAACAAAAAGAACAGTGGTCTAGAACCCATATAAACTAAAAATTCTGACTCCGCCTCTGCGTCCTACCAAATACATCTTAAAGAAAAGTTAAACGACTTCACCTTTTGTTGATTTGAGAAAACAACCCAAGAAGGGTATTGTTCTGGTGTAAAGATTTTTCTTGAATCTTCCACTGTCATTCTAGCAAATGCAGCAATTCCACTAGCCTTTACAATTCAACCAAAAAAACAACATAAATACAAAAAAAAAACCCAGAAATGGAAAAAAATAAAGATCCAAAAAAAACAAAGACTTTAGTTGACTAACCAGATCAGTACGTTGTTTGGATCTAGCATTTTCAGATTTCACAAAAGCAACTATTATAGCAAGTCCAAATGCTATTCCAAACACAACCCCTAAAACAAATGACATTTTTATTCCACTTTTTCTTGAATCCCTTCTTCCTTGTTCAGTGATTTTTGTAAGCTAATAAACTGAAAAATGTTGAAAAGATCTAAAAAAAAGGTGAGATTTTGAATCTGTTTTTGGAGTTTTCTTCTTATGGGGTTTTCCTAAAAGATGAATTCTTGAAAAAAATTACATCTTGAGATTTTCACTGAAACTTATAATTGTTGAAAGAAAAACTCAAAGTTGGGATTTTTAGTCTGTTTTTTGGAGTTTTCTTCTGGTGGGGTTCTTCCAACAGGTAAATTCTTGAAAATAAATAAATCAGAAAGTATATCTTCAGACTCAATGAAAGTTGGAATATGTATTGAAAAGTGTGACTTCGTTTTAATTTGTTTGTCTAGTTTCTATCGACTTGATATAAGTTTAACAAAGTGAAAAAAAAATCTTTTGAATCTTATACTACTAAAGTGACTTTTTAACGTGTCACGTGGAATATTGAAATATAAAAATTCAAAATAAAAAAAATATATAAGTAAAGAAGAATTTTCAATGATATAATATTAAATTAAAGTTATATAAAAAACATATCAAAATATCTTTTAATGTTATAGTCTTAAATATATATATATATATATATGTGAAACGTATTATTCTTTTTGAGACAAATTTAAGTATAAAGTACGATAAATAAATTAAATTTCAAAAAAATAATAAAACAAACCAATTAAAAGGAAGAAAACCGATATTTTCAATCATCTTTCTTGTTATAATCAAAGCTTTGAACGGCCATAACCAGACAAAGATACTTTAATTGTTTTCAAAGTGTCCAAACTAAAATTAGGAAAAGAAAATAGGAATGTCATTTTTTGACAGGTGAGTTGACTATTTGTGGGACCAAAATTTTAGCCAATTATATTTTGCCATGTGTCAAATTATGTAAAGGTTTTAATTTGTCTTTCTTAATTTTTAAATAATTTGATTATATTTCTTTTTGCGTTAAATTAAATTTTGGGAATAAGTCTATTTTAGTTCATCAAAAATAACTTTGACATGTAGTTTTGTAGACAGTAAAGTTCCGGATGAAACTGAATCACAGGTCTTGAATTCAAACTTGAAAAATAATAAAAAATCCTCGTATAGAGCGTTTTGCCCTTTAAAAAAACCTTTCCTTCATTGATAATCAAACAATATGAATTAGTTGTTGAACAACCAGAGATAACTTTCGTCCACGAAGTATAAATATATGTAAAAACTTACTAAAATTAAAATCGCGGAAGTTGAAACTGAGCTAGAGAATATTTTATGGCTGATTTATGATTAGAAAGATGCAGAACCACAAAATTATTAGCCAATTCTGTAGTTTTGATTACTCTTCTACATTAATTTTCAAAAATATAAACTTTCTAATATCAAGTGATTTCAATCATAAACCAAACTGATCAATTTGCTTACTGCTTTGCTTTTTCCTGTTTTGTTATGCTGATGAGTTATGTTGCTCCGACTCTCCTAAAATATAATGACACCAATGTTGGTTCCTTAAAATTGTACTACTTTTGAAGAATTCAACACGTACCCGTTGACATTTTGAAGAGTTTGAGTAACATAGCTAATGAGCGGCTGTGTAGATCACTTCTATCAACTTGAAACAGAAACAAACTAACATAACTTGAATAACCATTGATACTAATTAAATGACTCACATATAATTATGTTTCTTTCAAACATATACAAACAACAAACAGAAAATTAAAAAGACAAAAACAGAACCAGAAAAGTTCAGTAATTAGTCCACAAAATCAAACAAAGACAAGGTTGCCCTCTCAATCTTCCATTAAGTCCGTCGTCTTTGAGCTCTTCTCTTTGGCCTTCTTCTTTTGTGAGGCATGAGTCCATCAAAAAATTCCACAAACCATTTTGGCTTACGATATTTAAACATGAGACTCCACATGACAGTTCCAACAACTAGTCCAAAAGTGTAGCCTATGACTACTGATTCCCAAGTAAATCAACTCCGTAATTTGTGTTAGGTTGCCTATGGAATCAGGAATGGAACCAGAGAATTGACATTGTTCGAGGTTCAAGATATTCAAGGAACTGAAGGTGCCAATTGAATGAGGCAGCTCACCAGAGATGCCTGTGGATGAAATATCCAACTCCATTAACAGAGTGTTGCTCGGGTGGATCTTTGGAAAAACTCCTTTGAGAAGATCATTCCCACTCAATTTGAGCGTTTCCAAGCTGTTTGGCAGAAGGAAAAAGCTCTCTGTGAGAACACCTAGCAGATTAGTATATTCAAGATCCACGTACCTTAAGGAGGAAGAAATGTTCACAGGTAGCGGAGATGAGATGTTGACACCATAAAGAGAAAGTACCTCCAGATTTGTGAAGTTGTGAAGCATTGTTACAAATGTTGTCTCATCAAGTTGGAATCCAATCACAGAAAGATCAAGTGAAACCAAATTGTAAAGGTATGAGATTTCTGTTGGGATTTTTCCACTAAAGTGAGACCATGAAAGGTTGAGATGCCTCAAATTCGTCAATCGGCCAATGTTATGTGGGATTGAAGACCAATTGAAGTCATTGTAAGCAAGGTTTAGTGTCTGGAGATGATGAAGTTGGAAGAGGCTGCTGTTGGGATGAAAATTGCCAACAAGCTGACTGCAACTAAGGTCCAGGGCGATAACATGACCGTTTAACATGTCACAAGTGACTCCATCCCAAGTGCAGCAATCCCTACTCTCATTCCAAGACTTTGTTATTGGGAAACAATCTCCATGACACGAATAATTACAGGACTCTCTGGACATATTTTGAAAGGATTGTTTGAACTGAAGCAAAGCAGAAGCTTCAGTGGGAGAGCAAAGACGATGATCAAAGGATGAAGAAAAACATTCACTTATTAGCAACACAAAACACTGAAATGAATAAAAGAAAAACAGAGTCACCATTTTTTGTTTGTTTGTTTTCAGCAAATAACAGGATGGATGTGTTCTTACAAATCAATCAGTATTATCCACACATATATATACTACTTTCTAAGTGTCCTTTGTAATTTTTTTATAGATTTGTAAGAATAATCAAAATTCTATGAAAACATACAGGCAAGGCCCTCTAATTATTTTTTTAGTTGTCATACATAAATTAAAATACTTATAACATACTGCGTAGAGTTTCAAGGAAGTAGGAGGTACACAAACCTTTATTAAGTAAGAATACAAACAACGAAAATTTTCAATGAAAAGATATAATATAAAGTTAGAATAATAAAATCCTACTCAAAACTTTAAGAAGTTTATATAATGATATTGAAATAGTTGTGTTGAATTTGATATAATGATATAATGTATTTTTAGTGGCAATTAACCCTCTTTGTGTATGTCTCTAAAGTTTTTAGCGACATTGAATCTAATGATACTTAACCAATGCTGGTAAAAACTTTAACACTCTTTATTAATGTGTATATTTATTGCCGCTAAAAGTTGTTTTTGTTGTAGTGCTTGTAATTTAAAGAATACACCAAAAAACAAATTGATCTTTTTATTAACACCCAACAATATATTTTGTATAATGTAAAAGGTTTTACCATTTGGTAGACTTTAGAATATTTAATAATGAAAGAATAAAAAAGGTAAACGTAAAAATAATGATGTGGGTTCATGATAATTGTCAAGACATGTATAAGTCAATAAAATAAGTAGCCACATAAGAAAGGATGCACTATAATTAACCAAACACTATTCCAATTCTTAATTATTACAACGACCTCCACATTAAATAAAGTGAACAATTAACTAAACAGTAATTCATAAAGCAGCGTTGTTGACTTGTTTATGCACGGGACTATCAATTATAAATTAACGAAGAAAAGAAACACATCCAGACAAATAAAATGGGGTAATAATTTGTGGTTACTAAAAAGTTGTCCCAAGTGTTAAGTCAATTTTCAGTCATTTGTGGTCCATGAATGAGTACTAGTCACTTCTAACAACGTGTTACACATTATTTTATAGTGTTCCACAAGACTTTTCAGAGCACGAAGAAGACTTAACAAAATAATACTCCCTATGTCCTCATTTTCTCTAGATGTTGTTATTCATTTCAAGGTCATCGACTATATATCTCTGCAGCGTGTGTTATGCAAGATGATGTGAATTAATTGGTCTCGTTACGTAACACTCACGGTAGAAAATATTTCTGCAGAATTTTGTGACAAATTTCCAATACCGTGTGGAATTTTATTTAAAATTTTGTTTGATATGTGTTTTCCTGCTTAATTAGTTAGTATGTTTTGAATAATTTTGTGAAGATCATTCCAAGTAATTGATTAGTCTGTTTTACAAACTTCTCAATAAATTACCACAAGACTTGTTAGAACTCCATCAATATTCCACCAAAGTCTAACCCAATTTCCACAAAGACTACTGATGGGAAAAAAAAGAAAAATATGATATTTTGCAAAAGTGTTTTGTAAGTGAAACAGAGTAACAACGTAACATACCTAGTGTAATTTCACAAGTGGGGTCTGAAGAGAGTGGTGTGTACCTCCGTTTCCAATAGTTCGAAGGTATTTTAGGCTTATCTCCATTTGTTATATTTTTTGTTTCTCGAAAAATTGTATGCTAGAGCTTTAAAGAAATTTTCTTACTGTCAACTCGTCTAAAAGTAACTATAGATCATGACTCTTCATTATAAGTGAAATTAATAACCTGCAAATCAAGGTAAACAACATGCTAACTAGAACACGTTAAATTATACTGATTGTAGACTTTATATTGTTGGTATATATAATTTAAATTCGTTTAAATATGAATGTCATATGGAAAGAAATTTTTTTAATCCTTAACTTCATGGTGAATGACCCAAATATATATAGATGCCAAAACTTAATGGGCTTTTAGAAATTGCAAAACAAGCCCAACCGACATTTAATAGAACTCAGCCCACCTCAAGTTAGATTTATGAAAAGGGGAAAATAAGCAAATACCCCATAAAAGCAAAATAATTACAAACATATACCGCATTACATTCATACCCCACTAAATAATTACACTATATACCCTCTTACTAATTTCGCTTAACTGATACTAAATCGGTATCATATACTGTATTTGTATCATTAAGGTTGATAATTTCGCTTAACTGATACTAAATCAATATCATATACTGTATTGATATCATTAAGGCTGATAATTTCGCTAAATTGATACTAAATCAGTATATATATACTTTATTGGTATCATTAAGGTTTCTTGTTAAGAAATTACTCATTAGTCAATGATACGATAAGAGTATATATGTGTATAATTTGTATTTGTATATGTATAAAAGAGGACAAGTGGCGTAATTAAAGCTAAAATTAAGTTGCGAGCCGTAATTAATTCAAACTATAGCTATTGTAACACCCCAGAAAAATTTTGAGCTAAGACTTGAACCGTCCTTCGTTGTGAGTAGGATTTTACTAAGGAATTTAAAATTTCTTAAGTGTTAAGGTCAGGTCACTAGATGTAGCACCTGAGTATCAAAAAGAACTAAATTGGAAATAACAAATATTTGAAATTTTGCAAGTTAAGCTAAGTATGAGTTTTGGGTTGACTTCAAACGACCATAACTCCTATCTCAGAATGATTTAGGTGTGCTACCAGATACCGTAGGAAAGATCTTTGAATTATCTTTCCAACGCCACCGAGTTTTCTCAGTTTTTGAGTTGGTATGAGGGAGATATGTGCATTCGAAGTTGGGTTGTCTAGATAAGGAAAGTCAAAACCGGATTTTAGAGGGGTATTTTAGTCTTTTCCTTACCAAATCGGATTTAATTCATTTTTAGTAAGGTTTTAAGGGTCTAATCCTATTAGGTTCAGTTTTATAATCCTAAAATTAGCCTAGAGTTTTAGTTGAGAGTTCAAGAAGAGAAAAGAGGAGAAAAGAGGAGATGATCAAAGCGTTCGTCGAGAGTCTTGCATTTTGTTGCGGATTTTCGCCATGGGTTTAATCCCTAAGAGGTATGTAAGCTTCCATAGTGTTGGATTTGTTCACCAACACGCCAATCATGTTGTTTTCAGCGCAATTTTGTTCTTAAAGTTGAAGGATTAGAGTTCTTGATGATTTCTTGTTAGGTGTTCTTGAAGTTCATTTTAAATCTTGTTTTGTTGAAGTTTTGATGATTTCTTGAGATTAATGTGAGTGTTTTTAGGGCTGTATTGAATATATTAGAGTGTACTTATGTTAAATAATCGAATCCAAGTGATTGGGGAAGAAACCGCTCGATTCTAAGCGAAATAGGGTGAGAAAACTAGCAAAGAATTTCGTCGGGTCTTCTGGGTTGGGTCCTGGCGCGTAGCGCCAACCAGAGCGCCCCAAAGTATGCTCTGAAGTTTAGGGGCTGGCTCCCCGCGCCACCCATAGCCCCAGGGTCTCCTGCCCCGTCCAGTTTGCAATCGGTTGCTTCGTTTGAGTTCTTTCGAAGGGTACATTCACTCCTTTTCGATTCTAACTACTCTAAGATACTTCTAAACACCTAAAATCATTCCTAACATTATCATAACCTTGAATTCATAATTCAAATTCAAGGTAGAGTTAAGAGTTAAGTTTTGAGAATTCTTTCGAACATTCTCAGAAAGCCCCTTTGAGCTCTTTTGAGGAGTTTTCTACAACTTCTAGTAACTTGTTTCAAGACTCGAGCAAGTGAGTATGAGGATGAGGAGAATGTATTCATGAATATACTTTGTCATCATGATATCCTTCATATCATGAACCATAACTCTTGAATTCATAATTCACATTCAAGAGAAAGTTAAGAATAGAGTTCAAGAAAGCCTTTGAGTTCAATTGTGAATCCTTTGAGATCAACTATCGATTTGAACTAAGTTTTGAGGTGGTAAGTAAGAGAATGAGAAGTGTCATATACATGAATTCCATGTAGTTTGTAGACCTTCTAGTCGAGTCGTTCATGCCCATAAATTCCGCATAGACTTCATAAATTGAGCATCATTGAGAGGGGTAATATCTTTAAGTTCTAAGTCTTGAGTATTGAGTTCCCAATCCCCTTTGAGATTATATTTTCTAATCATGGAACTATTTCATATTACTCATGAAGTCCTTGAGTTGAAGTGTTCATGCCCATAATTTGGCATGAATCCTATAAGTCGAACAGTCTTGAGTTGAGTAGTTCATGCTCATAATTCCACAT